TCAGTCTTACATTTAATCATTATGAATACCCATAAAATGTCCCAAGGAATCACAGGAACACATCTTTCGATGAAAATTTGTCATACATTCCTTTTTTGAGTTTATCGCGTTCATACATCGCCGGGGTTTATATTTTATAATATATAAGGATTATGTTTACTGTTAGGACAGCAGGAGTTCGATCTGACAAAATAATTCATTTTGTCATAAAATGTGATTTTTAGTAAATTTTAAATGAAACCTAAGACACAATACAGAGTAATTAAATTAGTAAAAATTAACGAATTTATTACAAATAATCTATTTCCCGTATTAATCAATACAAAATCTTTGAATAAAATGTGATTTGTACTTAAAGTTTTTAATTTTTTGACGATCGTTTTAATAATCCGTTAATATTATTATTTGTTATCGTTTGTCGTGTCCACATGATACAGGGATGCCACCGTTTTCATAGTCCATTTGCCAAAAAGAAAACCTTCAAATAGAGACGTAAAACTCCCACCAGATTTCCCTCAAACTACGTAGGCCGATGTTTGGAAAGATTGTTTACGCAAATTGCAAATCGGTACCTAATATACGCCGACCCACTTACCCACGTTTATGTTATAGATCACGGAAAACCATGCTAAGTCAGTGAATGTTTATATTTTTTTATGGATTTAGTGATTGATCAATTCAGTCCAAAATGTGCCTGTATTCTGTAACTTTCATTCGATATGGATACAGTGCCACAAACTTTTCTTGGTCGGTATTAGTATTACCAGTAAATAAAAGTTATCCATTATAAGGGGAATAATTTGAAGTCATGCAGGCTAATTTAATAATTTATTGAAATGTCTTAATAAAACAACGTACATATTAGTATCTAGGAAATACAGTTCTAGGCTTAAATAAATATGTCACAAGTTCAGGAACAACTGATATGGTTGGTCTTGTTACCTGTAGGTACTATTAATATAATATCTTTCAAGATACCTAGCAATCAAAAGCGTTCGATAATTAAAACTTTGCCATTGTAATTAATAATGCAAGGAATAAAAATAAATACGTTTTAGTTGGATTTTTATTAGATGTTAGTAGTTATGCACGCACCAAAATGGCGACGGTAGTACCAATTTCAGCGGCCAAGAAAAGTATGTGGAACTGTACAGTTCTCGAAGTTGTGTACATGCTGTATAGTATCAATGTAGATCTCTCACTATTCGTAGTGCTGCTGTCGCAGCCACGGGATCACTATGGCCATTGGAAGTTACAGTTGCAATAAAAAGAGTGGCAGAAAATTTCTTGCCCGCTCTATACCCTTGACTTGCCAACTGGTAGTAAATGTAAATTTACAATTAATTTAACTTCTTTTCTGACGTTCATAAGTGTACTTGTTTACCTATATAAATAAAGTTATTTTGAGTTTGAGTTATTCAATCCTGTTATGTCTATGTTTCATATTATAGGGTACAATATTAAACTTCTAAGATTAATAAAATTAATAATATGTGTTCATACCTTAGATCCATAAAAGCGTGAAATTTACGTAGATGAAGTGGTTTTTAAGGACTGACTCCGTCAACTGCATAAAATAATCATTACGTCTCCTAATATCAGTAAAATTCACAAACGATCTGGAGGCTCACATGATGTTAAGTGATATGGACACTCTCAATGCCAGGCTCGGAAGTTAGTTGCCGGCTATTTACGAATTGGTACGCTATTTTCTTGAGGATCCTAAATCGAATTGGTTTGGAAATATTTCCTTAAATAACGATCAGTTGTGGATCGACGGACGTCGAGGTGATACGGGTGGAATTTTGGACGTGCGATGGCGTAAAGAAAATAGTCAAGATACCTTTTCACATAGTATACAAAGTTAGTTTAAACCTCCAAGTCCGCGGCCTATACCACCACGTAATAATAACTTCGTCGTAGGCCATACTATCAATGTTTAATCGCTTGTCAAACTCCCATAAAATGTGAGATGTAATCATGAGCCTACTGCCGCTACCCTGCGGCGGCATTTGTTACACGCTAACGGTCTCTTGACAACTCATCAGTTTCTGTTGAGTGTTTTAATAAATTTCCCGTGTATAATAGAAAACATTTCTTACATACATCATCGAACATCTTTGTGTGCGATAAGAATTAATTTAAATCAATTTTACTGCGCTCTTTAACCCGTAATGGATTTGTTTTGCATTATTAATTAACTATGTAAGTTGTTTATATTATGGATTTTATGTGTTTGTTTCTTTCTATTTGAACAGTTCCCGTAGTTTACAAAATACATAAGTGAAAATAAATATAAAGTATGTATTTTAATTAGCTCCTAATCCAGCATTAACCATATCTATCTTCGTATGTCAAATCTAATACGGTTTTGTCTTGACCCATAGAGGTTTATATTTTATAAACAAAAGATAGGTATTGAAAATATATATTCTGGTTAGCCTCTCGCTGACTTTTTCCTTATCTGAAAGATAAAAGGGGATAGCTAAAGTAAATTTACTAAGAAGCGTTTATTAATTTATTCCGCTTAAACAGATACCTACATTATATGGTCATGAATGAAAAGATAGGTGAACGTATAATAATAATAGCCTTTATTGCTGTAAAATACATTAAAATGTAAAGTAGGTACCATAAACAATAATAACTAATGGGCAAGCCGGTTAGTTTCTATTTTACAGTTTGTCCTTGGACATAGGCCTCCTATAAGGTCTCCTCCTCCTCCCCTTCCACTCTTCTGGGCCAACTGTTCTACTTATATCATCGTCCCTCCTTACTATTTGTCTTCCACGTTTTCTTTTGTCATAGCGAGGAAGCAATTGCGTCGCTTTTTTCGATGTGGAATATAATTAAATATTTTAAATAAATTGTCTCTCCACAAAGACCTAATCTTACTTAAGTAATTTAAAACTCACCTAATTTACTAATAAGGATATTTAACATAAGAAAGTGTCCAATAACACTACTTACAGTCTCTATTAAGGAGAAGTCACTGTTCTTTTGTATTAATTTTTTTCACAGTTACCATTGTTAAATTCCGCTTAAACAGATATACCTACATACTATATTCTTTAAAATAGCTAACATAGATTTAGAATGTGGCCTAATTAATTTAGGAAGATTAAAACTTCGACGATTTTTTAATTGTTTGCCTTCTAGTGAAATACTGAGCAATTGATTTTTTAAAAAATCTAGACTTAAAATATTTAGATACGAAAATAACCCTTGCATACGTTATACACACAAATTTAAATGTGAAGAAATCCGATATTTAAATATGAAACTATATAATATTGTAATGGTATTGTAAATATTTACAATACCTCACATGAAACAGGAAACTCTATTCCATGAAAATTTCTGACGCCGAACTGTTTGCAGAAATATCTGTTTTCAATTCCATGTTATTTGTAAAATGTACAAAAGGATTGTTCCGTACTAGTTAAAATGAGTGTGAAATTTTTAAAGAACTTTTAATAAAGCTGTTCCGCGTGAATTGGGCTGAGTTTGTAATTTTAATACTAAAAGTATCTTTCTTCGGAGTACTCAGTGTCAATGATTATTTTTAAATTTAATAGATGTATAGGAATAGTGAGCAGTTTTGGCCTAGTGGCTTCAGCGTGACTCTCATACCTGAGGTCGTAGGTTTGATCCCCGGCTGTGCACCAATGGACCTTCTTTGTATGTGCGCATTTAACATTTGCTCGAACGGTGAAGGAAAACATCGTGAGGAAACCGACAAGTCTTAGACCCAAAAAGTCGACGGTGTGTGTCAGGCACTGGAGGCTTATCACCTACTTGCCTATTAGATTTAAAAAATGATCATGAAACAGATTCAGAAATTTGAGGCCAAGACCTAAAAGAGGTTGTAGCGCCACAGATTTATTTATTATTGTATAGGAATAGTGCAACTTATCTACGTAAGTAATTGAATGTCCGATTTATTTAAATCCTTATAAGTAACCGTTAATTCTCAATCTTAATATATATATTTCTTGTGTGCGTGTGTATGTGACTGAACTTCTCTCAAACGACTGGACCGATTTTGATGAAATTTTTTGTGTGTGTTCAAGGGGATCTGGGAATGGTTTAGATTCACAAATCAGCCCGGCAGATGGCACTGCAGTCGGTACTTTCATACTTTGCTTAATATCCTAATCGCTTTAAATATCATGCAGGACAACGTCTGTGGGGTCCACTAGTGTATGTATAAAACTACACTACACTATGCACACAGAATGAAACAGAACAAACAAGCCACTAAAGGTCATTAATTCTAAATAGAAATTAAATATTTCAAAAGCATTCATGTGCATATCATTTAAAAATACCGTTTCCACGTTCCGTTATTCGCAAAATGCATATAGTATCAAGGTATTAGCTGGCCATTAGAGGTCTTGTGTTTATAAACACTGTTAGTACACTGTCGGTTACGATGTCTGACCTCATAGTTACGATTTTAAATCCTGTTGCCCCCAAATGGGACGTTCTGCATCTGATTTATAGCTTAAAATTACGTTTACCCAAGGCAAGTTTTCTGTGCCTGACAAATGCCATGAAATGCCGGATTCGTCACTATGTTCTTCAAGACCGTTACAGCTTTAACGGGGCTCAAACCTACGAACTCTGGATAGCGCGTGCTTAGTCACTAGGCTAATCCTGCATATTAACTCCCCATGCTCTCTCTCCATTATCTCTTCATTCCGTATCGTCCCAAAGGAGTGCAATGCGACGAATTCATGTTTTTATAATTATTTTTAAAACCACATAGGAAATCGCAAGATAAAATGACGATGATGTGTTTAGGTTTATTCTTTCATACATAAAATGTAGAAATTTCCAAGGTTTTCCCAACCATGGAAAATCTGATCAAGTACTGTGCAGTTATACCATTAATAATTATGTAATTAGCTAAGCATTTTATCAAAGAAACGATCTGATTTCAAACATATATAATCTTGGTGAAGGCTAGCGATTTATCTTTATCCACGTCCTTTCAGATGCAAACGATACTTCATCACAACAGCAGTGGAACAGCTGCTTACACTGGCCGGCTGAAGAAGCGGGAGGTCCATCGAGCCATAACCCTCCATCCTGTAAAAGACCATAGACAGATGTACCGGCTGCATACTTACTTCAAGGTAGATCTATTTAAAACCTCAAATATATCCTTTTTTCAAGACAAGAGCTTTCATAATAGGTTGACAACGCACTCGCGATCCTTTTGTTTATGTGACTTTGGATGTGTGTCTATATGCCCGGTTGGCCCAATAACTACTATATTAAAAAAAATATCGTTTAACTGTCGTCGTCGCAAGTTTTAAAAAGTTATTTTTGAAATCACACAAGCTCCGAAGTCTTTATAAACGAAGAAGGATGCGATATATGAATATGTTCAATTATCTGATAGCATTATAATTTTGTACTGCAATTAAGAATTTTTTATTATACAATATGAGTTTAAAATCACTAAAAATTAAAAATATCCAAAAGGATACAGCCGTAGGTTTTTAATAAAACCCACAAAATTGTTTATAAAGTATCAGGTTTCCATCTAAAATTATTTAATGTTAAATAATTATAAGGCAATGAACTCATCGTGCTCATAAATCGCAATTTTACGAAATTAACCTGTGTGCATTATTATTTAAGATTTGCGTTTTTAGTGATTATTTCAATGGGCTGGCCTTTTAGTATTCCAATTTTAGAAGACACATACATTAAAAAAAAATTAAAAACAAAACTATTGGTAGGTTGATACAAAACGTTTTACTAGGTATATATTTAAAAGTACATCCTAATTCGTATTTGAGATATGTTTTCAAGTTTTATTTTCTCGGTTCCAGAACTTAAAAATCCAGGATCTTCGGGAATCCACCCTAGACCTTCATAGAGATATAGCGTCATCACTCAAGAAACTAGGCGTGGAGCCAGACCAAGTAGCCGACTACATGCTACTAGAAGGCATACCTCTTTTCCCAGCTAAAATCGGCGAGCCAGGCTATTTGGGTGACAACAATATATTAGGTGAGATTTACTTCATCAACTTTTTAAATTACGTGCAGTATTCAGACTTCAAAGCGACTAAAAGTTATTTACTAAACTACTAAATTTAACTATTTTAAATACAAAATGATAGAAAAGATCTGGTCGAAATTTACCAGAGATAAATTATTCTCAAGACTATAACATATGTCTGCACCAGGCTTATGGCCAGTTGTCCCACATAAAATTGCGAATGACATTGCTATGATTTCGAAAACAAGAACTTCGTGATCGTAATTTTGCAATTCCAACTTTAATGACAATATTTTATTTCCAACACACAAATTTACGGTATTTACAATATTCTTAACCTACATAGTAATAATGATAATTAAAAATGGAAAAATACGTAATTAAAACAAATTTAAAAAGTTTGGTCTCTGTGGCAGTGTACCTTTAATGCTGCATTTCTTCGCTGTATTACGATACTTATTCGTTGAGGTAGAAAAGTACCAGATCTAGGCTCACCGGTACTAGCTACCAGGCACCAACTGAAATCTTTAATTAGCGCCTGTGCACTAGAACCCCACGGCCCAAGAGTATCTCCTCCATAGGGATCTTAGATTTGAGCCGTTTATTATTTTACTGACAATTAAATTATGGTATACTACATTAATATATTTCTTGGAAAGTGTGATAAAACCGAAACAATGATTTATTTTCCTAAAAATTGTTATCATATTACGTTATATGTATATGTCAAATCGTTAGTATATATTATCTGTAGTTCGATGGAATTCTATGCGGCGAGGATTACATGAATGTTCAGTCATGCGGGCTACAACGGTTATGTGTACCTATTCAAATATCTCGCTTTAAATAAAATATAGCCTACTTACTGGAAAACGCAATTATTAAGACGTAATTTAAACATATTGTGTTCGATTATTATATTAAGTTTAAATCTAGACTGTTGTTTTTATTAACTTTGTACTACTCGAATATCAAGGTCGTCAAATAATCTCCGTTGATTTCCTTATTACCATTATCTTAATAACCATTTAAGATAATTTGTTATTTTTGTGTTAAAACTGCCACGACTAGTTGTTGTCGATATCGTTATGGATTAGATTAGAACTATTGTTCTACTCCTAATAAATTCATCAAAGTGGTTTGAGGGCGACTGCGAGGGCGTGACTAACTACTTTCCCTTCCTTTTGACTACCTTTATTAACCGACTTGAAAAAATGAGGTCAGTTTTACCAGTCTGCACACATTCTTGAAATTGGATAATTTTTGGTGATTTATTTAGGGAACACTTAAAAGTCACATCAAATGATTTATCTATGCATTTCTGGAGGGGACCATATTACAATATAGGTAAAAAAACGTGTGGCACTCGGGGACTGCCGCGGTAAAGCTATTGCATAGCATTTTTCATCAACTTATGCAATGATAATTATTTATTTATTTTTTCTTTTTCTTTGATATTAATTCAATCTACCACTCTACCACTACAGACTCAGACTAACTCGCCTATATAGTCTGTCTCACTCTAACGAATACCGGCTGCACCGGCCGCGCTTACGCTACGTCACCGATCTCGTCAGAGAGATGTGAATACGCTGTATGCATTCTGTCCCACTCTAACGCGTATTGGCCGCACGTTTATTAGGGGTGTTAGGTTTGTTTTCGCTACGGAATTTCTTGATTCGGTCGCCGCGCTCAAGGCCCGCGATAAAAGCTATGCAATAGCTTAATGTTGCCAGGTATTTGATAACGGTTTAATATTTTAATTATTAGTAAATAACTTTTATTATCAGTTTTAGTTTCAGTCATAATACAATGATAAAATTGGAAATGGATTATTAAGTAGCAAAGTAAAACGTAGGCAAAGTAAAATTTACTTCTTATGATGACATCTTTAACGGACATATTACGAATTTATTATATTATGTACTTAAAAAGATATTTCGAAAGGCCTATAGCAGCGTTAGGGTACAAACATTTTAATAATTACGAAGACGAAACGAAATGTAATTGTACAAATTGTAATTTAACATATTATAATTCCAGGAGCTCCGATAGATTTCAACAGATACAAACCAGAGAACGTGGAAGATATAATTCCATTTGAGTTTATTAGCAAATCCATTTATTCCACCAGTCATTCAAACCCGAAGAGACGCATCGAGAGTCCACTGAAGGAAGCATTGGATGATGTTATTAGAGAGGTAAGCACATATTTTAGGCAGACAAGACTTATAACCTTAGCCTGTATCTTACGTACCACGAAGTACGGTGCTCGTCTTTCTAGAAATAAAAAAATGTAGTTAGCCTCTCAGGATTATTTATTCATTAGGAAACCAGTTTCACAGATATAACAAAAATAATTATTATATACGTTGGAGCATCCGCGCTACTGTCACCTGTCATTGTAATTATGACAAAGAGCCCATAAATTAACATCGTCAAAGCCAAATCAGTTTAAAACCGTTAACATTTGTGGTTTATTCGAAGCTCGATAGCAATATTGGCAATTTAATTAATTTATTTTAGCACGCCTATATAATGGTCGATAGTAATAGTGATTCGTTTCAATTTATTAGCACTTTAAACCGTTGAAACTTAAAGACAATGAAGCCATTACAAAATAGACTCTAATGTCGAAATTGAAGGTCTAATGCTAGCAAACTAATTTAATAATAAAGGTGTCACCTTTATTTATTCGTAGATCTTGGTTTGTTAAATTTGCGGTCGTGTTTTCTAGTCATTTAGGTTCTCGTTTGCTGCTTTCTCAGCAATCGGTCCTTGTCTCGCCCTTTCTGTCGACGGCGACTGATCGACGACAATATTCATATTAGTTATCGTCAGTTACTTGACTTTCTAGATTCCTTTCTCCACGTGTAATCCTTGACCTTCCTGCAAAATTATTTAGTTGCTGGCCTCGTTCCTGTTCCACCTTGTCTTAATCGATTGTCCTCTCTCTCCGTCATATACAAACAGAACTAGAACTCTCTAAAGACTAGATTGAATTAATATTTTCAAGCGCATTAGAGTTACGTCCTGTTGTATTAATTCAGATTAATAGATAGTGGAACTGCTTTTCCACTACTACTAATGGTGTTAAGAACCAAGTATATAGGGAGCTCCTACTGATGATCACATAACTTCAGGTGGGCTGGCGAATAAGTAAATTTCACAGCATAAACATCTATTGTTTGGACAGTCATAATATTTTTACATCGCATGAGACCGCTCTCTATAGCTTCCTTGACGTTGAGCTTTCCGAAGTCGAGGAACCCGGCCAGCGATGTCAATTCTTTAAATAAATTCATTGTAAAGTGCATATAAGGCAAATAATACATCAGTGTTCTGCAGCATCCAGATTTTCTATTATTTTAATTCAATCAAGTTCTTCGAGGCCATTAATGCATTGGTCGTTGATTTCTCACAATTCATTTCGGCTGAATTTAATAAAATATAACATGTCTTTATACTTATAAATTAAATTAAAAATTATCTGCTTTGGAGGAGTAATGGAGGATCCATTAATCAATTTCAGGTTATGGAAATAATAAACGCGCCATCCCGTCAACGAGGCCGTGTCATCGACTTCAATGAGTTACTGTATGGGTACACTCGTCTGCAACCGCTACACGGAGTCGACCACGTGTTGGATCTGCTGCTGAAGTACCGAAGATACCGAGGTCGGAAGATGACCGCTGCTGTCCGAAGACATGCGTATCTTCAGCAGAGTTTCACTGGTATGTAGAGGTGGATGTGATTTGGTGAACTTAAACATACTTTAAAGTATCAAACTTTAAAGTATGTTTAAGTTTCTGTCAAAAATAATGAAAATTTACAATTAAGCAATCAGTGCTACCAATGACAACGAAACGTCTTTCCAATTCCAGCCACAGAGATACGCGAACTGCCAATGGGTGAGCCTCCACCGTTCGAGGATCCAGAAATTCTTGAAAAAATACACAGCAAAGATCCTCTAAACGAATACGCGGACTTCGACGAACCGAGCCAACAGCCGGCCGGGTTCCTCGACTTCGGAAAGCTCAACGTCAAGGAAGCTATAGAGAGCGGTCTCATGAAACTACAGAATCTGCCGAACGTCCTCAAATGGTCCGACAACGACTACGAGTACCCAATATACGATAGAAGAATACATTTCATCCTGCCCCTCATGGGGCGACAAGAGATATTCTCCCGCTTCATGAAGAACTACGAAGACGTCGTCCTGAAGAGCGATGAAGCGGTGAGTTTAATTGTAGTCCTGTACCTGGACGTGAAGAACCCGCTGGACTACCGAAACGCCGAGGCGTTAATAGACCACTACAATGACATGTACGGGAAGGATGTGAAGATCGTTCACATGGGCTCGACCACCTTCTCGCGAGGAGCGGGACTCACCGAGGGTCTCAAGCGGTGCGCGAGCGACGACCTCGTGTTTTTCATAGACGTGGACATGATGTTCAATCACGTCACCCTCAGGCGGATCAGGATCAACACAGTGAAATATCACCAAGTGTACTTCCCTATTGTGTTCAGCGAGTACAACCCCGAGGTTGTGAACGGGGATGATTTTAACAAGTTCAAAGATGAGCCACTCGTGACAAACTCTAACTTGGGTAAATTTGTGGACGAAGTTCCTAAAACCGACAGGGAATTGGCCGATTTGAAGTATAGCAAGGAAATCAATGACGATTTCGGTTATTTCAGGCAGTACGGTTTCGGTATTCTTAGTATTTTCAAATGTGACTTCGAGAGGGTGGGCGGTTTCGACCTGAAGATAAAGGGTTGGGGCTACGAAGACGTCCAGTTCTTCGAGACGCTGATTAAGTCGAACCTGACAGTTTATAGGATAGCGGACGAGAGTTTAGTGCATAAGTTCCATTCGGTGGACTGTGATAAGAATTTAGAGAAGAGTCAGTTTTTGATGTGTCTGGGCACCAAAGCGTCGACGTACGGGAGTGAGAAACACATGACATATTACATGCTGAACCACCCGGAGGTGCTCTGGCCCGAGGGAGGCGAGAAGGGAGCCAGCTAGTACTGGGTAGCATTTACGTCTAGGATGTTCGATGTATATTTTGTAATTCAGTATTGTGATTTAGTTCCGGACAGAGGGAGGGTTGGCTTGCGAGACCTTTATAGCGGACGGTCGTCGAGGGCAACTGCGATGGAACATAATAATTATAATTGTACATACTCTGGTGAATTGTATTTTTGTAAGCATTTATTGTAGATTTAAAATGTTCCTAGAAAATATTTTACGAGAGGGCAGTTTTAAATTACTTAATTTACTGATATAAGATGTAGAAAAAGTGTATATATTTTCAATTAGGAGCTATAGAACAAAAAATATATTTTAGGAAGTAGCTATAATTGTTGAATGTCTGAATGTTTTTTTAATAAAAATCATACAAACTTATATGGGGTCCAGTGTGTTAGTACATAAATATTTTTTGAAAATAATTGACCAAAATACAAAACAAAGCAGTCTTATTTTAGCAGGTAAAAAATACTAGGAATTTTCCAGTAAGACAGTCACTAAAACTCATGAATTAGAAGTAAACGCGATTTTATACGTATTGGGTACATTTTTAATACTCAATCAGTTACCTTTCGTACTAAGCATTGAGTTTAATTAAATAGTTTACCGTAAATTATGATTCAACGAGTATTAATTTTGCTGTCAATAATGATTTAATATATTTTATTGATAAAAGGTTATTTTCGGAACAACACGGTATTTAAATAGAATATATATTTTAATCTGTTGTTCATCCTGTGTGTTACAAACAGGATGATAGATCTTTATGGTTTTAGAGCAATTGAATTAAACTAATTTAACACTTTAAAAATACCGGAAAATATTTATTGTATATAAAAATAAAAATCTACTAAATATATTACGTTGAAGAGAATGTACGATCAGTAACACGAATGATGAACTATTTTTGTAATATATACAGGAATGTTTATATATATAGTCAAAAATAATGTATTAAATGGCAAGTGCCTGAAAGTCGTGCTCACGAAGTGCCAATTTAATTTTAAGTAGCAAATAAACCTAATAATGTATGTTGATATTTTTGTACATGGTATTTTAATTTTGTATGAAATTATATGAAAATGAGCAATATTAAATAATAATCATTTATACAGTCTTTTGTTACCCTAAGTGATACTTCAAGTAAATTTTATTGAAATATAATTCGTTTACTGCAATGTCACAAAAAGTGTGAAACATTCATTTTGCCTACAGTCTGTACTAGGCGTTATCGAAACTAAATCATGCTGTCTGCCAATCATACCTATAAACCCTATTTTGACCCATGTTTGAGGATTTATTGCACATGAAATCGCATAAAGTGAAATTATAAATGTAGTTATTCAGCGGTACGTGTACAAATAGAAGGAAACGCCTGATGGCTTAAAAGTGCAAACTTTTTTATAATCTTTGAAATTTAATTTATCGTTTTATTGGTTTAGCTTTACTTCTTTTAACGCTTACTACTATACAAAATGTTTAATTTAAATTTTCATACAATTCACACAGCCCTTGTTATAACAATGTACCAGCTTATTTGCAATCCAAATGGAGGTGAAGTGTGTCCATGTAATCAGCGATGTCTAAACAATAACTGTAATTAAGACAATTCATAACTTTCTCGTAATTACCTTTACGTCACATAGGTGCCGCTATTATCTCGTAGTGAATTATGTAACGCTGCATTATGTCCGAGATTTAAGCGATTAGTCGTGGGATTGTGTTTCATAATGATCAAAAGATGGTAGCGTCCAAGTGGGTCGGTTGCGGCTTAGAGAGTAGCGGGCGTTCGACTTCGCTATAGCGTCCGTGAAAAACTCCAATTGTAAGCTCAACATAATTTCTGTAGCCCTCATCGCCTGCTTGTTAGATTGCTTTGTTTTCATTCTTTTTCAATCCGATTGCGTTCTTGATATGATTTCAATGAAGAAAATATTTATTACATACGAAATTACATATGAAATTGGCGTTTTGTATGAGAGGAACAAAAAGTCGAATATTTTTAAATATAATATATTTAATTAATCAAAGTATGAACCATTGTTTTCTATGCACTTTTGCCATCTCATAGGTAGTTCATTGATCCCTTTACTAAAAAAACCAGTCGGACGGGAATCAATAAAATCTGTGAAGGCGATTTGGACTGCCCCATCAGAGTTAAATTTTTTCCCTTGCAAGAAGTTGTCCAAATTTCGAAAAAAATGGTAATCTGTTGGAGCAAGGTCCGGGGAGTACGGAGGATGTCTTAGACATTCCAATTGAAGCTCTTCTAATTTGGTAGCCGTCTGTTGTGCAGTGTGTGGTCTAGCGTTGTCGTGAAGTAGCAGTGGCGTGGAGCGATTGACCAGCCTAGGTTGTTTAGCCGCTAGCTTTTCCATCATGGTTTGCAATTGCTGACAATAGACATCAGCCGTTATGGTCTGGCCAGATTTGAGAAAACTGCAATGAACAATACCGGCACTAGTCCACCAAACGCTTACAAGTAACTTTTTTGGGGTTAATATTCGCTTGGGGCAGGATTTGACTGGCTGGCCAGGATCCAACCATTGCGCTGAGCGCTTCCGATTATCGTAAAGAATCCATTTTTCATCACAGGTAATGATTCGGTTTAAAATACCTTCATTATTGTGCCGGTTCAGTAATGTAACGCAGCAGTCGACGCACGTTTGCCGGTTTGCTTCAGTCAATTCGTGAGGTACCCATCTTTAAAGCTTTTTAATCTTCCCAATTTGCTTCAAGTGAATTAAAACAGTTTTATCACTAACACCGCAGCCTGCAGCTAACTCGGACGTGGTTTGCGATGGATCCGCTTCCACAATAGCCTTCAATACTTCATTATCAACTTGTATCTCAGGCCGTCCACGGGGCTTGTTCTGCAGGTCGAAATTTCCAGAACGAAAACGTTGGAACCAACAACGAACTGTGTTATCTTTTGCAACATGACCGCCATACACATCATTCACCCTTCGAGTCGTTTCCGCAGCACTAGTGCCACGGCGGAACTCGTACTCGTAAATAATGCGATACTTTAAGTTTTCCATTTTGTAAAATGAGTGACGCAAACAGAAAAAAACAGAAGCAAAAAAACGAATGAATGACGGTCATCGAAGCACAAATACATGAGTAAATAGCTGTACAAATTAGAATTTGGAATTCCTTACCAAAGAGGAGAAGTTAGTGCTTAAAGTGGCCATTACGAAATACGCCAATTTCATATGTAAGGACCTAATATTTTGTACGATGGATAGTTTAGGAGATATAGCGAATAACGTGTTTTCATCCCTTTTTCCAAGATGGCGACCGGAGGACAAGGGCGCCAACCGCACAAACTTGGGTTTAAGCTTTTATTGAACCCCCTACATGTCCCATAAATAAAATTGCGTCCTCTAACAAATGCTCAGTTTGGCCCTCAAATTGTAACATTTCAATGGGCTAGTTTTGTATATTGTATATTTGTAAAATGTTTAATGGAAAATAAATGTATTTCTTACACTTGAAACTTAAAATCGCGTGTTGCATGGCTTATAACGATCTCGAGATGAATCTTTCATCGCTAAAAAACGCGCATTTGCAACAGTACAAAGTTGAAGAAATCTCAGTATTTCTCTACTCGAAATGTTTCAGGTCAAGTGTGTTTCGAGTGTTTGAAAGTTATGTTCGCTTGGACACTTCGATTGAGACATAATTTAGGAAAAACAGTGTCTTATTCACTTTATTGAATATAAAATTATTCCAAATAATCATTAAAATTCCGGTAGTGATATTATTGTAGAAGAAAAATTCAGTACCTAAAAGCAATACACAGCAATCAGAAATCTTTAGGTTGCCATGTCTTTCATCAAAAAAGGGGTTTTAAATGAATCTAGGTATCCCTTTATGCAATATTTAGATTGCTCGTTGAGAACATCTTTAACATCTTTTCTGTTGACGTTCATGTGTACAGTGTACTTGGTTTCCTTTATGAATAAAGTTATTTTAAGTTTGAGTTTGAGTACAAACCCAGAATCGTATTAAAAATCAACAAGGTTGAGGTGAAAAAAGAAGAAAAAATAATCAATACGGTGTCAAAATGTATTTATTTTTTTGAAAAAATAAAAAAAACAAACTTACAAATAAATTATACTAGTCTTAAAAATAGGTAAACTATACAAAACAAGAGTCGCTCCCAGCGGTAAGCCACTTCGATTCTGTCAAACTGACGGAATCAACCAGCAAGTTGAGTCTGTCAGTCATGGCAGCAGCAACGACTGGCTGACCGCTGAGTAACCCGTGAGCGTGCACAGTCGCAAGCGTTGGCCAGGTGTGGTAGGCCAGCCGACGCCACCTACATTGTACGTAGCCATCGACCAGATTTTATTTACATTCGAGCCGGGCCAGCTCGAATAGGAACGCTTAAGCGTTCGGATCATTGGTCTGAATTAGTAGGGGGCGCCGTAGCTTCCGGAAGGAGTGCCATATGAGGAGGATGGACCGGAGGGGTAGCCGCCACCGGATGCTGTCTGCTCAAATTGCGCAACTTGGATAGCTTGACGGACTCCCTCTAGGTTGATGCCAACAACGCGGCCGCCACCGTGGGGAACGCCGTAGGATGACGATGGAACGCCATAAGATGATGAGGGGACGCCGTAAGAGGAGGAAGGAGCGCTGCCGCCGAATCCTGATCCAGATCCAGAGGAGGCTTCTTCTTTAAGAAGGATTTGACGGATTTGTTCAAGGAGACCAGCATCGACGTTTTGACCCTCTGAGGTTTGGTAACCCGAGGAAACAGCGCGGTAGCTGCCTCCACCACTGAGACCGGATCCTCCGTGGAAACCACCGCCTCCAGAAGGACGGTTGTAGTTGTAGCCCCCTGGGGCCTCGGCGCTGGCACACGCCACCAAAGCCAGGGCTATGCACTGTTGAAAAAAAAACAATTGTTACTTCGACTATTCAGTGTTTGACGCTTTCTTTTTATAAGTAATTTAATATGATAAATGAAAAATAATTGGGAAACAATGTTTTTATTCCTCATTTATTGTTTCAACTTTCTCGTAGAAATTTGCTCAGTAATTTGCATCTAGTATGTAAATATTGTGTTATTCAATAACGTTGCGTCAATATTAGCGATGTTAGTAGACGTGCAACGCATTCCCTAATATGTAGTTTGTCTATTTGACTAGCTACTGTGCATTTACACCTTTTGTGTAACATTTTGATGCTTGTTGAATACCATCCAAAGATTAATTTTAAAAAAATGTGCGACCTTGTTTGTGAACGCCTGGAGCGGAATGAAAATTAGTTAGGAATTAGATTGTGCCACAAAAATTCTTGTCCTTGTTAATTCCCAAATTTATTGTGATATAAAAAAATGTACTTTTTCATTTGTAAAATAATGTATTTACTTACATAAAAGCATCGACATAAATTACGAAGGCGCTAAAATTCACACGCAATAATGTGGCGCCAGCTTTTAACTTTGCATACAGTTATTTAGATTAATGACCAGATGTGAGATCGACCGTTTATGAAATGTTAAAATACAGTAAATGGATGATTTATATCCACCTGTCGTATCGCTTTAATTTAATTAAGTAAATGTGTTGAGCTTCCAATGGCGATTAGAAATTTAGCGAAACTTTCAAGCTATAAAAATTCGCGAATATGAATAAAAATAGCATTATAAATTGGAGTGAAAGTCGCATCGTGGGTCAAAATGTCAGAAGTTAGAGACATCGTTACGTCATCGACATCGCGATCTTAACGAAAGGTTATTCTACCGTGAGAGAGGTGTTTTCAAGATAGCATCATTAGCTTTTTGTGCAAAATCTATTACGGGTCATGTGTCATTAAGAAGTCTTTTGTGAAATGATGAAGCGTTACGTCTGACTCTATGCACGTTAATCAAACTTACTCAGTTTTAAAATATTCGCTTTATAGTTTAATGGAGGAATGAGACCTTTTTTAAAACGAGTAAATATATAAGATATTTGTCGTTGGATTTCTCTCATTATTTAAGCTTTGTGTCTAGCTTTTCTGCTTTCGTTACAACCGGAAGTCACGTTGGACATTTAGATCTACAAGACAATTTGATCCCAGGTAGAATGTTCAACCACTTTCTATTCTTATCCACAGTACATACTTATATATTTAAATACGATACGATATTAATATTTTCAAATAGAAGGATTAGCGTTTTTGTCTAATATAATGCTATCGTTAAAGGTCCTTTGCACGAGAAACTTCTAACTGTAAAGATAATTCCATACATGCAACTGGCAATAAAAAAAACTATGTCAATTACCGCGAATTCTAATCATATGACTACATTTAAATCGAATCACGCACAAGACAATCGTGTTTAGAATCGATTCTGGATTACGACATCAGTTATCTTTGATGATGACCGAATGCTTTTTATTGTGTAGCCACCATTTCTGCGCTTTCTTCTGGCGAAAAAAACACCTGACTTAATCACGATGTAATGTATTTAAAATTTAAACAAATTTATTTATTTCTACCGGCTATATCTTGTTAATGAGGTCCTATAAGAACATCTGACCCCTCATTTAAGAGAAATTTGTCCACGTATTAAGTACTTAAATGCCAGGAATGCTTTTGCGAGCTTAATTAATATAATTATTAATTCCAAGTCTTATTGTGTTGAGCTGGAAAATGATTAAACTTATATTGTGCAAATAAATGACCTCCGACCTGCATTACCCAAGCGAAAGGTGTACCGTGATTATCTTAGATTTATACGGAATAATTTATTCCTTACACAATCTACATACGCACAATTACATGCGTCGTAAATGCACGAAAGGGATTGTCTAACAGTTTCAAGCATAATATAGAAAACGATGAACCTAACTGAAAAAACTTTTGGACTCATTTATAATAATTGAATAATAAACAAACAGAATAATAAATGGTAAAAGGCTTTTAAAAATACTAAAAATGGGAGAATAATAAGGCATTAACTTTTAAATATTGTAAACTATGATTTTTCATTTTGAATAAATAGATATTTTTGCAATAGAGAGAGTAAAAAATCTTTTGTTTATGCAAGATCTAAAGCCATTCACGAAAACGACATAGATTAATGGTGTGCGAACCTAGATTTAAATCTCAATTGTTCAAGTGTCAAATATAGATTAATATCTTATGAAAAACGTGTAAATGCATTATTTCAAATCTTGATCAGAAGTGGAGACACTTGAATTAGTTCAGTTCCCAGGATTTCAATTACTCGAGATTTGCTTTACGTATATATATCAGAATAACTGATTAATATTTTTTTAACATATCATTTATGTTGTCCCACATTTGTGTCTTACTCCAAGAATAAATATATTTTAGTAAATGGAAAGCATAAAACAATATAAAAGATAGAGGTTTTCAGTGAGGGCTTTTCATTCGGTTCTGAAATCAACGTATGATTTGTACAACAAATCATTATTAATTGTACTCAACCAATAAACTATATTTGATTTAATAAAATCCATAAAGATATACTTCAAATTAAATATGAACACGATTGAAAAGCCCAACGTTCGGAAATCAAGGCATTCCATTTTCAAAATTGTGACGCGCTTTTCACATTGATTTCTGAACTTCACTGATCACTTCACTTCACTTCACTACACTTACCGCTACGAAGGCTTTCATGGTGTAAGATGGGGTCACTGCGGTTCGTGAAGAACTTGTGTGATGCTCCTACCGTGTCAAACGGATATATAGTAAATGTGCGGACGGTGGGGCGGAGAAAGGATAGGTTGTGCAAGTTAGGGAGATGCAGCTAGTGTTAGTCTAATTGGAGGAAGATTTTGGTGATCGATTGCTGATGATTTTGAGTTTAGGTTAAACTTTGATGCATATCGTGGTTTCAACAATTGTTTTTCGTAGTTTATGCGAAGAAATTTTCATTGTCCTGGTTGAAAATATCGCCGTTTGATTTTTGTTAGCAGAAGGTCGGCATAGTAAATATCTTTTATGAAATAAGAGGATGAAAAATATATTCAATTTATTGCATTAAGTTTTAGAAGTTTATAAAGAAACTTGAACATATTTCGCATATCAAATTGTAAGTTTATTGCGAATTTTTATACGTTCAATCCATATGAATCGGTAACGTGTGCCATGACAATCTTTTTAGAGGATATTTTTTTCGGTAATCCTAAAGCAACGATATCTATCTTATCTTAATGTTCATTTTCTGTTTAAATCAATTGATAGAAAGATTAAGACACATAACTTTAAATCCTTCCTACTCTTTAATTACTTTATCATAAATACAGTTCGTTTCATACTACAAGACGATGCTAAAACTAAATAAATACCTTTATTATCTCTAAAAGAGTAAGTGTGGAGTTTCTTGCCCATTCTTCTCCATATAAACTACCTGTTGGAAGGGGCAACTAGTCATTTTTTTATATTTTTAACTTATTATTATTTTGACTTTCAAAATTGCCTTTATAATAGGCCTAATTAAAATAAATGATTAAACTTTGACTTTATTTGGTCTTCACATACCTGAAAATATCTGTAGTACTTTCGCGCAAATAAGCAAAATATGGAATCATTATATTCCTATATCTTGCACCATAACCAATAAGCAACATTGGCACAGACATTGATTGGTAAGTGATTTTATTGTAATTTTTACATTGATGGACATAAAGATTTCAAGTAATGTATTTCTATTATTCATAATTTACTGTGCATCTACGCAATCGTATATTTGCCAATCTCACAGAATAGTAAGCCATAGATCAAAAATGTTTTTTTATACTCGAATGTCGTAGTCTATTGCTCATGATTAATAAATTATCAACTGTTGTACTCACTATAAATACACATTGATTTCCAAAGGATCAGTAAAGAAAATAAATACAATTATTGAATACTTTTGAGTGCAATCGAGGTTTTTTGGGAAGTTCAAAGACAATTCATAGATGCCAGCATTAAAATACTTTGTCGCATAGAACACACACCAAGTGGCGTATATTTCACAACAGTTAGTTTCATCTTTTTCCAATCCTCGACCAGTTTAAGCTGAAATCTTTGTAGATAAGAATAAAACATTCACATATTACATTAGTTTGAATAGTTTTAAGCTTTGCTTTATTCTAATATTAGTGAACAACAAACTAATTATGTATGTGTGTTGTGACGTTTATTTCTTTTTTATGGATTATGGTAATCAATGTTTGGAATTTTCTTTCAAAATAGTCGTTGGACTCAATATTTTGAAACTATGATTTACAATTCAAACTATATTTGTAAAAAAAATAGATCTTATTATTTGAAAATAGGTTACAAGGTTCCATGGAGCGTGGGTCAGACATTTATGCGTTTCTTCTTGCTAATTTCTTGCAATAAGTAGGCCACTCCATTATTATTGACTGATTATTGTTTTATCAAAACCAAACCCACCCACGCCATTTGCATTAACCACTAAGCACATTTAAAACAACATCTTTTTACTCATCAATACTGTAATGTGGTTTTACAGCAGTATATGTATTGTTTATTTTAAATCTTTTTTGTGTAACATAAAAATTCTTTCGTAAGTGGTCAATAAATGTTATTACTTTTGCTATTACGTGGTGAGCATCCGATATGGTCCTATGTCGGGACAAGGTCAGTGTTGCACAAAATATTAGTATTCACGTGGCAAACTTTTAAAAAATAACCGTTAGATTATTCGATTTGCGTACGGAGCCTTCAAGGATTAGGGCATTTGTATCTAATGGAAAAAATGAGGGATGTTTAAATTTAGGGAAATGAGGCGAAGGCACAATGATTACCAATTTGGCTGTAACACAAGCATTAGCAGACGTTACATTCAGAATAAACCGCCTTTGCGAACACTTCATTATGGACCTTGTTCACCTTGTATACAAAAAAAATATATATTTAACTTGACAAGTGGTAATTTTAAAAAAATACATATTATGCGGTTTAAGTTAAAAAAACTTAATCAGAGAAAAAAGTCTTCAAAACGTTTTAGATATCGATAATTTTTTACTCAATGCAAAAAGCTGTACGTAATTTTATGTATATTTTAAATTATAATAAATTCTAAACTTTTAGATGAAGAAACGATGAACGTAAGGAAATACTACATAATAATTGAAATTCTCTTTTTGGTCGGATGTAAGTAATTTATAAGAAAATTATAGGCTTCGCGGGTCATTTGCTTGTAAAAAGGTTAATAAAATAGTACTCTTCAAAACAATTCACGAGTTCTCTTTTCCCCAACTCCCAAGTGAGTATTTTCACAATATTTCACCAAAATATTAATACATATAATGAAAATTAATTGTTTTTTTATGATAATTCACAGACGTGATTAAATTTCTGAATATTTAATTTTATTATTCTCAACAATTCGTTCTTATGAATATTTAGTATAGAAATTGTTGGTGAGATCTCTTACGCAATATAATAATCGTTTGTCGAAGACTAAAGGCTAGAGTAGAATTTACCACCTTTCACGTGAATTCCGAAAGTTTGTTTAATTGTTATTGATATTATACATCTATCTAAGAAGTTAATATTTGCGTAAAAGAGAGAATCACGTTGGAATACAAATACATATTACCATTTTTTATATCTCTCTAAATTGGAAATGATAATACTTATTAATTATTTATGATTATTTAGGTATTGCAGTTTCAAGATTGTTGACAATATATAACGAGTACAGAGACAATTGTCTAATACACACAAGTACAGAGCCAACCTTCGTTAATTTTTGAAGCAATGAAAAAAATTATGAGGTTAATTAATAAGTTGTGCTTGTGTGGTCATCACGTCACTATAAATGACGAAAAGTTATCGATTTCCATGTAATAGATTTAGTAAATGCTCCAAGGCTTCTCAATATAGTTGTTAGCCGCTCACTCTACAGCTAATGTCAATGGATGAGGTGATTTGTAAACTTACTGCGCGAGCGATGATTTCCAATCATACAAAGGATTTGCCATTTGTTCTCTCTGAAATGGGTCATTTCTTGGCTTAACATTTTGAGAGCATCCCGATCGGATCTATTATAATTAACTTTACAGCAAGTTCTCATCTGGTAGGTTGCGAGGTTTTTAGATGGCTATATGTTTTAAAAGGTATTTATAAAATATTCTTATTTGCACAGTCGGTAAATATGTTTCATGTTTAGATGGTTAACTATGGTCACATATTACTCGATTTAACAAATGCATTAGATGCTGCAATCTAAGTATCATACTCGAGCAATGGAATCGAGGTTATCAGAGAACGAATGTTTGGTTCGAACTACTTAGGAGCATCACTTTAATTCCTTGATTCTATACTAGCATAGAACCTGATTTTAAAATTTTGCTTTCAAGCGTATTATGAGAACACAAACGTTTGCTAGAGGCACTGCATTTAAATCAGATCGTAATTTCTTACAGTAGGTACTTGACTTAACACTCTTAGATTGCTTTAAACAACATTTGGGTTGACGGTAGTGCAAATATAAAAGTACTTAAACACAAGAAAATAAAATCAGAGAGAATTTTGAACTATTTGTACTTTTTTATCAGTAAAATTATCTATTAAAATAATAATAATGTTTTCTTCTGTATTTTACTTTTAATAATAATAACACCAATGGTATCAGTTATATGGATTAGAATTATTATTAAACACGTCGAATAGACATATATGGTACAATCTACGGGAGCAGTGAGGTCGCGCCGTGAAGCCTGCGAAGTAGGAAACTTCTGAGCTTCTGTAAGGAGCTAGGCTATTTAGCCAGGACTTTAAGCACAACGGTCCAAATGAGCGTCTAAGTGCGGAAATTAAGTCTACACTAGATACATATATACATAGACATTCTATGTATACTATTATTATGGTCTAGATTAAGAACGTGAATTATATAAAATTAATCATCTTCCGGTGACCTAAATCATCATTTATCTCTAACCGCAACTTCGAAATGAGATGATAATTGTTTGCAATATATTGCATGCGTTTTTCGTCATTCTCTTAATGTGCAGTTGCAGACTTTCGAAACAGATGTTTATCCATTTTGATGATTTCAAGGCCTAGTTTCAGTTAGGATAGCACTGTAACCATACCGAAGCAGATTGTTTTCTTAAATGTTTTTAGCAATATCATATTAAAAGTAAATTTTCCATTACAGAAAACTATCTTTCCATCTTCTTTCACGTCACTGGGATGTAGGCCTCCACTGGCATACACAGTGCACCAAGTTTTTAGACTGGTCATATAAATATTAACTATAGTTAACATACATAACTATAGGCTGATTAAACATTTTAATTTAAGGTTATTCACGATATACAGCAGTATCTTGCGATCAATTGTCAAGATAACTATTTGTCAATTTGTAAAACTCCTCTTCGTTTATTTAGTCCGTTAAAAAAGTTAACACTTTTCAAAGCTAAATTGCAAGTTACGAATTAAACAAAACAAATATGACAGGGTAAAACTACTTATTTAAAAAAGCGAAAGAACGTAAATACAAACTTACAGTTTCTACAAACAGTACCTACTACCCAAATGTGAATATATGAAATAAGTACTAAGTTATATTCGTTTAAGAAGTTTAAATTTACAGTGAAGTACTCGCCTAATTCAAAGACTTCTACAAATTAATAATAATAATTTATAAATAATTACGTGTCAGTAAAGAAATAGGAGTTGTGTAATCAATGGTTTACTATAAAGCTATCACATATAATAACTGTAATTATTTACTTTTAACCTTGGTGTATATAAAAATAAAGTAAATATACCTTTCACCTAAGCATTACTTAATTTACTTGAAGGAATATTACAACGTATGGTATACGATACGATGGTCATCTGTCAGACATTTCGAATTGTCCAGAACTTTCTATAACTGAAAATTCTGATATTTATTTCCGACTTTATCTTATAAAGAAGTAGTAAATTCGATTTATTATTTAATATAGTTTAAGATAAGCATAACATTTAGTTATATTAAATTTATACGCGATATGCGGAAAACATTAAAAATAATTAATTTCTGATAAAAACACATAAAAACGATGTTTTTTTAAATAATTTAAATCGTGTATCGTATGATTTAAAAACTTTACGCTTAATAAAGATACTTAATTGTGAACCTTGACCTATTGCTCTTCGTAATTTGCATAAACCTTTTAGTTTTGTGTAAATACACCAGATCGGATGTACAGACATACAAACAGAAAAAAACTATTGAACCATATAAAGCTTACAGATGCGTCGCATTTAAATTCAATGACTGAATAATTAAATCTAGAATCTAGACTGGGTCACAGCTATTTGAAGCAAGGTTTCTTATAATTAAATAGGTACTATAGAATTTCTTGATTTTAAATTAATTGTATAATGTGCAATAAAGTGTGTATAAAATTAATACATAATTCACAATTAATATGTCTTGAACTCAGTAGTTTGTAACTTGCTAGAGTAATCTTGGCTCCAATATTGAATTTTATTTACCCAAACAATTTTTGTCGCTAACTTGGAATCGCGCTGTACAATTACAGAGTTACAGAGTACCGACCTATATAAGTATCTCAGATTATATAACTGACACGTTTGGGTTTCTGTGCCTTAACATCCTCTCCATACATTACTTTACCGCGTGAGCGTGTGTGCAAAAATAATAACTCGTTTAATTACTTTTGAGATTTCAATGGAAAATAACGTGAACTATGGTCTTCAACAACCTTTGAAGCGGAAGTAAAAGTTGTGGTAACTTGTGGAACGCGTAATAACAAATTGATTAGATATTTTTAGGTTCCGTGGTCATGTGTCAATCAAGGCGAGGGCGTTGTATTGAGGATTTACTTTTACCTGTTCGATGATGAAGCATTTTATAAGAGTTTATTTTTGGACAGCCCAATATTTATACTTTCTTCTTGTACGACTCATAACTCTTAGAGAGCATTAAATTATTTCTAATCGTAAATTAAAAGTAATAAACGGTGTTCGTGTAGTGTCTACCAATGGAGGTTTCTTTCTATGTATACGACTAAGACTGCTGTACGTTGAAGGAAAACGTAAGTAAAAGGGCATGTCTTAAGCTAAGGTTTTCTTCCACCGCTTTTCTAGGAAACCGTAGCTTTAGACGCAAAAATCGACGGCGTGTCAGGTGCAGAAGGTCGTGATCACCTTCAAATTAAGAATAATAAATAATCAAGAATCTTGTTCTGTACAAGAAACATATCGAAATTTCAATCAAATAGATAGGGTTGAAGCGTCACTGATTTTTTAAGACTATTAATTATATAAACTGCTGATTTAAGGCATAATAAGGCAGCAAAAACACCTTATTTTGGCCCCAAGTAGGTCTATGACATTCTTTTTTATATAACTGAACTGAACTATTATTGAAAATACCGTATGATTTCATATGAGGTGATTTCTTGACCAAAATCTTGGTATGAAACAGTGTATAGTAGGTATAAATTACCTATGTAATTGGAGATTCTATAACCAGCACTTACAAATTGAATTATCTATGGATTTTTTGCCGTATTAATTTAGTTTTATTATTTTGTTCTTAAATAGTATTTTGTTTTTATGAATGATGTGATAGTCATTGGCGCCATGGATAAACTGAAAATTCGTAAATTTGAATATGACTTCCTATGTATCCTATCTATCTATGTTATATCGCTGCGTTAACTGAATCCGAAAACTTTAAGTTGAAGAACGAGCCTTGCGGTCGACCGGTAGCCATTGCCTACAACGAATAATAGAAGCGGATCCACCTCAATCTACGGACAAGTTGCTGCGGGCCTTGAAGTCTAAATAACATTGAAATACTTGCATCATTAATCGGAAAGATAAAAAAGCTAGATAAGTGGGTGCCACACAAACTAAGCGACCAGAAGCGGCAGATGTCTATTGCCAAGAATTGCAAGCAATGACGGAGAAGCTCACAATTTAACATGCATGACTGGTCAATCGCTCTTCCCCATTGCTTCGCGACAACGCGCAGGCTCACACTTGACTACAGACCATAGCAAAGATAAAAAAGTTACAGCTGAAAGCTCTCCGTCAACTTACTCACCGGACGTTACCCCAATAGATTTCTAAACATCTAGTTCTAGACATTCTTTTAAGTGGGAAATAAATTTACACCAGACAGGAGGCAGTACAAAACGCGATCGCTGACTTCATCGCCTTCACCGGGCAGACTTCTATAGTAAAAGTACAAACAAACTGCTATCAAAATGGATTTTTTTAAAATAGATAATTTTTAATACAAAGATCACCAAAATTTTTATACTTTGAAATTAAAAAAAATCTCGAATTTTATAGGTTTATCAATTCAATTATCAACGAATATTATTAAATTTAAACAATGGTAAATACTCTGATTAAATCATATTTAGTTTTAAATTCAGTTCTTATCAAGTCTTCAAGAAAGATAAATGCTATTCATCTTATGATGTAGGCTTAGTAAACATTCCATGTTTGCTTTCATAATGAGGTCTTTGCGTGCCAAACAATTTGCCTAAATGATAGCATATTGTAAGTAGTTGTAATAAGGATATCGTTCTTTACTAGTATTCATATCATATTCAGAGAAATCTAAACAGTAAATTTATTATGAATGATACAGAAGCAATTTTGTGTTGATCACTTTACTTCAAGTTTTTAAGCTAGATAGGTTTCTGTATCTGACATGTCGCCAATTTTTGTGTAGCTTCTTTGTTTACTGCCGGGTTTCACAACGTTTTTATCGCCGTACGAACAAGTGCCATTACAGCTATAAAACGATGAATTGCAAGCCGAGATTTGAAGCTTTACCAACTAGGCTAAGTTTGTGGAATTAAAGATGGCGATTGGAGCATATTTGTTAAACAAATATGCGATTGTTTTTCGTTAGAAAACATTAGAGATGCGCGGGGCATCGCTTACGTGTGGAAAACAAACTTTCCCGTTTCACCGCAGAATCCTTTTAGCGATCGCCAGTACTGTGGATTAGGTGGAAAGCGGGTAGCGAGTACCTACTCGTATGTCTGCGGACTGCGGTAATAAGGCTTTTCCAAGAATAATTTAAAATTCAGATTAAGGGAGGAATAAGTCCACTTAAAATTTACATTTGCATTTAGATCAGAGTATCAAGCACATTTTTATGACATAATCGTAAGATAGAATATGAGGAAAAATCGATATTCCTATGTTATAGGTAGTTATCAAAGAAAGAGTTTAAGAAAACTTGACGCCCATAAGTTAAATAAAACGCAGTCATACTTAACACTTAATTTATTTTGAGTATTAATATATTTCATAATGACGAAGGATGTTTAAAAATGATAGAAAAGTCATCCAAAAATGTAGGATTAATTTGTCTCTTATAACTTGGGACCACATATCGGATATTTGCGCAATTCATACGGAAGCGAGATGAGTGTGACTGACATAATGATCTGACCATTACGAGCAAACATTTTTACCAGAAATGCACCTCTCCACTTATTAGATAAATAATCATTATTAAATATCCACTTATTATTAAATAATAATTCTCCTCCACTTATTATTAAATAATATTATTTTTATAAAAATTAAAAATAAAAAAATAGATTTAGCCTATGCGCCATAACATGCCTATGTTTATATTGCAATTGTACTATCTTTGTCAAATTAAATCAACCAAAAGCACAATTATTAAACAAAATAGTCGTCTTTGCTTTTTTCCTTATAGTAAAAACGTTATTTTCATTACCAGCTTCTTTGCTGTCTATTCCCAATCCAAGTTGGCTGTGATATTTAAAATTTTCCTTGTCTGATTCCACAAGTCCTTAGTTATCTCAGTATCGTAAGTCAGCCAGTGATTTATCCACTCTCGGCAAAATTTGTAATGCACACCGCTAATTCTACCAATCTCTGGGTCAGCCGCTAGGAACAATATTTCTTTCGCAACATCCTCCTTGGGCTGCCCAACTAAATTTACAAATATTTGCGACACGTTTCGAACCAATTCTGGTACGTTGTCCAATATATCTGTATCACGAACGACAAATGGATCAAATGTGTTTGCCGTCACTCCAGTATCCTTCAATATATTGTCTAATTCTGCCGTGAATAAGGCTACCGCTAATTTGGAGTTCGCCAACACTTCTACTGCGGAGTACCGTCCAATATCATTCCAATGATCATAATCCAAATGTCCAACATACATTGATGACGCTGAACTGTTAATAATCCTACTCGGTGCTGATTTAGTCAACAAAGGCAGCAGAAGGTACGTTAATAGAAACGAGCCGAAATAATTCACTTGCATAGTTAGGTTTAGTCCGTCTTCAGTTAAGCGATCAGATAATCCAACAGCACCCGCATTATTTATTAACACGTCCAGTTTATCTTCACTCTGTATATCGCTAGCGAAATTTCGCACTGATTTAAGAGAGGCTAGGTCCAACAATTTATAAGAAACGTTTGGGTTTTTCGTTACTTGCTGTATTCGATCTCTGGCTCGGATAAGTTTTGTTTCGTTTCTACTAGCTATTATAACTTTAGCTCCTTTGTGTGCGATATGCTTAGCCGCTTCGAAACCTATGCCAGAGCTTCCTCCAGTGATAACTACGGTCTTTCCGTCGAGTCGCGAATTTGTGTTGCACATTTTTTCAATACAATGTCACTGCACAAAGTTGATCAAGTTACTGTCAATAAACAGGAAGTAAAGGCTGTAATTAATTCATTGCGTTTGTTATTATTTTTTATTACGAAAAAGGTCTTGTGAGTTACCATTGTTTCTCGATTCTTTTGTCTACATCGGAATGTTGGCGATAAATACTTAGCAAGCGTTGGCACAAATTAATAATTCTTATCTGCTTTGCTTGGAACACTTTATTGTTTACTAGTGAAAACTTTGTGTATGAATTTTTTTTCGAATTTAGTCATACGAAGGTATTATATCGAGTTCGGTGTGATATTAAATAGTTAAAGTCAAAGTCAAATCAAATCTTTATTTCAATTAACCATCTAAAATGGCACTTTTGAACGTCAAAAAAAAAAAAATATATAAAGATGATTCTAGTTGCCCCTTCCAAAAGGTAGTTTCGTGTGGAGAAGAATGGGCAAGAAATCCACACTTACTCTTTTAAAATAGGTTTACAATATTTTGTTACATTTGTTAAATAATTATATGTGAAGACAATGTACTCTTAGAATAAACTACTATACTAAAAAGTTAGTATACATGTTCCTCACATATTTACAAATATCGAAACCTTAGAATATTAACATTAAAGAGAGTAATAAAAATATTAAAAAACACAACAAAACAGTGTGTGAGTTACTATCGGTGACCTTATGGTTCATAACCAGTTCTGATTTTTGACACTTTTAAGTACAATCACTTTTTACCTTCTATAAGTAATATAGGATACCTGAACCGCAGAAAAATAAGTAATTAAAATAAAACATTGCTTCGTGATAATTAAACATATTTATAATAATTAATTACTTAAAGAAGACCATCAGTTTTAATTAATTCCACTGCTTTCTCTGCCATACCGATGATCACCGAATTTGGGAACAAAGAAATCGGTGATGGGAAGATGCTGGCGTCCATCACTCGTAGACCTTTAACTCCTTTTACCCTAAAATAGGAATAATTAAAATTTTGTAAACCCTTCAGTCATGAATTTTTCTTTTTCAGCAAAATTACACTTAATTAAATTTACACACTCAAACATGTATTCTATTCTATAACTTCCAACATCCTTGACGGTTCCGTGGTTAAACCACATGTCGTCTAACCGTCTAATTTGGATCCCAGCGAAATAATTGTGGTTGAGTTTAGGGTTGGCAGTGACACAATTCTGATCACAAGATATACAGAAAAAGCAACTACCTAATGACGTGGAATTCTATTCTTAAATTTAAAATACTCGTAGACGTTTCTTTTTATAAAAACAATAACTAAGAAAGAAAATTGTGGTAATCTGGAATTACGACATAAGGATAAATCTTTATTTATCCACTAACATCGTGGTTTCTTCAAAACAAGTACATAATTGATAATAATAGTTGCGTAGTATGGAACATTGGACAGCCGTTAATTTTAACACAAAAATCTACGATTGGTAAGATATAGAAACCGCGTACTAGCAAAGACTTTCCTTGATATACTTGAATTCCTCTGATTTAGAACGTTGTTTGGCTCTTATAGAGCAAAATCAAATTGGAAGAATTACAATGCGCGGTTTAGTTAACATCATATAATTTATCTTTATTTAAAAAGAGATAACAATACCTCAAATGGTTGTCCAAAACGGTGCCACCAGCGCAAGTTCCTCCCACGTGATGACCGGTGACTGCCACCTCACGTGTGACACAGGCCAAGTATTCATCTGGAGGACTTGGGGGTCTTCGGGGCTTCGGCGGTGTTATTGTTTTAGGTTTGGTTCTTTCTACTCCTTTTTGGTATTTGAGCCTGGAAAATGTCAAACGTATTAATAAGGTAACGTAGAAAAGGGATTTGAGTTATTATTGTTTTTTTTATATAATAAATGACTTGTTTTAATATAGCAATACAATTGAAACATTTGTAAGAAGATTCATCTGAAATTGTTTTAAATATAACTGCAATAAGCCTGGAAACGAAAATGAAATATGCTCCAGATCTTGTTTACATTTGTGCCTTTATGCGAATTTTTCTACGTTTTGATGGTGATGATTGTGTTTTTGCATACGTCGATAAAATCTAAATAAATAAATTTTAAATACTTCTTCCGTCTCCTCTGCAGGCCAAGCTGATCCTGGCTGCTGTATCTCCAGAGGCTGAGACATCTCTCGACCCTGGGCCAATGAATCTTAGCCCCAATATCCTTAAATGGCTTCGTTGATATCAAACGCTCTGCACGACGTAAAGCTATAAAATAAACATATTCTGAATAATATATTTAACAAGCAAGGTGATGGTTGCAACTCTTAGGAGTTCCGTACCAAGCATGTTATGAAACAAAATATTTGGGGATTAAAAGGAGGGAATGCCTTGATTGATAACTGACAGTAAATTAGCATTTTGATTTTTTTTCGACGTTCATAAGTACGGCAGAAGCAGAGCTTAATTTTACGATAAAATATTATTTAAATATTGATATTTATACATGTAATTAATTCCTATACGAAATATCAGTTAGGTATAGGTATACCTTTCACAATACACTGAACGTCATACTCCTGGTGCAAGTAGTTAGGGTTGACCACGACAGGCACTGTGGTACTGGTATCCCGAAGAGAGACAGACCCTCGGCTTCGGGGCTGAACACATGATGCGAGGAAAACAAACCCTTCTTTGCTAGTGTCGTTGTTGAATGGGAACATGTCTCGGAAGACCTTAAAAATAATTAATTATTTCTATTTGTTTTGCATCGTAAAACTAAGCCTATCTAAGCATCCGAATTCGGCGATTAACGAGGTTCTAGATTGATTCATAGTTGTTCTGTTTCTGTAGACACAGATAATGACATATTAATTATAAATAAAAGAGATTCAGAAATGCGTTTGAGTTCCCCGTGCCTAGTTGGGATCTATTACTATTACAGAAACTTTATTTTGAGATATACATATAGGTATGTGTAAGGCAGCGCTCCTCAGAGTCCATAAATAGAACGGTTATAAAAGCCATTTCATTAAAAATATAAAGTTATAAATGTATAAAGTTCTTTATAAATTCAATTGTAAGTTAAAAAAGGGCAACGTAAGTGTCACTATTCCTTAGATAAAACTATAGTTATAAATTACCCACACATAATATATATATATATTTATTGTTAGATTCCTAAATCATATCACCTGTGGTTTGTAATTTGAGAGGTCTCGCAAAAGTCGCTCGCTAGTGGATCCCATTGTGAATAACATGAGTGCAGACATATTTTTATATTCGATACCGGCCACGGGTGGAAAAGATAAATATCCTAAATAAAAATATAAAAAATTGTTTGAAAAGAAAAACAACATGTACAATATTATATAATATTGAATTGTTAACGGTTTTCTTTCATAAGCAATGCAGTACTAAAACCATTTTTTATATTATCTAAACATTCTCAAAATGCCCATATAATAAGATTTCTTTAAATATAATAAAAAATAAAGAAAACGTGTGTTGTTTTTAACCTTCTCCCTTCCAGTAGTAATCCCAGGCGGTGAAAAAGCTAAAGACTTTAGCCAGAGTTACACTTATGGGCTTTCTGATGCTAACGTAGAGAGGAACGTTCAAGTGATCGTGAAGGTTTCTACCCACTTGGCTGTTTTCTACCACAGGGACTATTTTCAGTCTGAAAATATAAAATTTTCTCTAAAATGGTGGTCGGTTATATTGTAGAATTAGAAGAATCTTAAAGGCTATGGCAGTATACTTATAAAAATTTCTTAGCACTGGCACTGATAGCTTATTATAGCTTTATTTTTTTGACAGGCGCTATGATCTTGTAGTCTGGAGCGCATCAATTACTACGTCGAATATAACTAATCACTCTATACCTTTTTAACAAGTCCCGTGGTCCAATACCAGACAACATCAATATTTGTGGTGTTTTTATAGCTCCCGCACAAATTATTATCTCCTTATTTATAAATATGTTGTTTAGATATTTGTGGTCTTCCAGCACGTAGAGTGAGGACGCCACTTTGTCATCGAACCTCACCTAGAAGCGTTAATTAGATTCAATTGTGGGGTTTCTATTTGATACCGATACCTTCGTGTCATACTAATTAGAAGTAGATAAATTTGGTGGTCGATATTCGTGAGGTTATAGTGCTCCACGTCAGTTATTTATGAATTGATTATGATTATAAAAATTAGTCAAATTTATACCAAAGTTAATAATTATAGTAAAACATTTAATAACTTTTTTATTAGAATTCTTTACATATAACTTCCAAAGAATAATTACGTTTTCAATTTACGCTTTATCAAATATAAAACAATGTTCCATGATAAAAAAGTCGCAAGAAGAGTTAATTTTATCTTCTTGGTGATATTGTCAAAAACATTCTAAGTATATATTCTTTAGCTCAAGGGAAACTGTCCTCTTTTCATACGCCCTAATTAAAAGCAGTCTAGGTATGCACCATATTAAAACTTACAGATACAGCCTGAGTTTTCAACATAACGTGTAGATTGGGTCTATTTAGAGCTGGTTTTAGGTACGCATCAAAAGCCTGATGTCGGCGTCCCGATAAAACTGGCGCAGTTGCTTTACGAAAAAGAGTGTAGCGGTCTGTCAGCCTAGAGGATGCTCGCTTGAAGGTGTTCATTAGTTCGTTGTTTTCGTCTATTTTCTTAAGGTGCATTGGAATCTGTCATATAAATAGCGCCTTAGAAAATATATAGCACAAGTTGTTAAAATACATTGCCCACTCGATCAAGATTTCCTTAACAATTTCATCTTACGTTATGGTTCGACCCATTTTAGCGTAAATCCCAAAAAAATGTATATAAAACCCAGCGATATATTTCGCTAGTAAGTATAGTATTGATTTGAATTGAGGCCATCAGTATAGAAGAAGTTAGATATTATGTAGAAGTATGATAATTTAAAACTTACCTTAGACTCATTGCAGTATCCACCAGCCACACATGGCGATTCAAATTCGCTTTCCGTCGTGCCAAATGCCTTCAAGAAATATGGCTTTAAATCTTTGAAAGTCCAACCATGAAAACCTAATTGCGACCACCTATAGAAAAATACCAGGCTTAGAAAAGTGAAATAATCTCACAAATTTTATTTGATTATATTTCAAAATTTACCTATTATAATCTTCAGGCAATCCAAAACCGTGAAGAAGAAAATTTATCTGCCCAGAACCACCAAGACCTCTGCCACGTGGTATAACTGGTGTCTAGGAAATACAATAACAAACTATAAGGCAGAATAATTACTCTGAATAATAATTATTTATTAATTTTGAAAATATAAAAATACTATCTAGTTAAAAAATCTTAGGCATAAAACATACCTACATCATATTTTATTTACTAACGATGAAGATTTCTATTTTAAATTGATAGAAATATTGTTTACCTGATTCCACATTCCAAAAGACGAGTACTTTTGTGGTTTAGCATGAAACGACCAGTCATTAGGCCCTTGCTGTGCCGCGGTGGCCGTCAAGGGTATTTTCGTAAAGTATCCCATATGACCCCCAGCCTCTACAAGAAGCACTTTGACATTGGGGTCTTCGGACAACCGCGATGCAATAACACATCCTGCTGTTCCAGCGCCGACTACAAGAGGAAGAAATAATGTTGTATGCGGTTCGAGCAAAATGTACAACCTTGGCTCGTACACAAATAAAGTAATCATTCTAAAAAGTTTTATTTTCAGACGTTACTAATTAATTGCGCTATGTGCGGTTTATTAAGTACAAAAATTTACTTACCTACAATATAATCGTATCGCCTTTCTGGCTTCTTGATAATACTAGGATTTGTATTTAAGTACTTATGGTATACAACATAGGAAATACACGCGACAACCAAAGCGGAAATGTAAAATTTGAACGACATTGTACTTCTAGTTTTATGTGCAATAGTGTAACTGTTCTTGTATCTTAATTCAGACAGAGCCTTTGTTCTAATTGGATTGGACAGAGGTGAATAAACTTACCCTTGTGTAAGTCGATACTATTTTGTTTCGTATTTTCGTTATGTTATACAAAGGTACTAGTAATAAAGTTACTCTAATTGTTGAATATCAAGAAATGATTGATGGATAATTCATTGCTGAGAATATTATAAACACAAAATTTTAATTTATTTGTTGTAAAGCTGAATTGAAACAGTATACCGAATCAAATTATGGTGTTATTGACACGATTTATCGTTTAAATATACATAACTGTGAATATCCTCATTTATAGAGTACTGTGGTTTAAAATGTTTGCATCCCCTGAATGAAAACCTAAGAGGATTAAGTCTCGGCGGTGGAAATCAATAATTTATTATGTTGCAATACATTATGTTTTACTATGATTGAAAGTGACCCAATTTAATGCACAGAATAAGAAATACGAGGCAATTTTAGCTGGAAACTAAAAACTTCCAAATAGCAAATTGCCCTTGACTATATGCATTTGCCTTAATGTTTCTTGAAACTTTTATTAAGTGAGCAATAGAATTGCTTATATGTAGTCAGTTAAATAAAAATATGAAACAATTTTACTTACTTAAAGTACATTTATTATTTTAACATGTTTCAGCTAGTCCAAATGAACTAGGTAGCAAATTTTTATGACAATATGCTGATTAAGTTTGAATAAGAAATTTGCATTATTTTTAATTGTACACAGAGATAATTTATACTTGTATCATTACAAATCAACTTCTCCTCCATCAATTAACATTTCTGAAGTAGCGGGTACCACCACTGGAGCCTCGATGACCTGTTTTCTTCCTTTAGCATCAACAACCTCGATAGTTTCAGGTTCAACTTCCATATCAGCTGCTTCTAGAGCTTGCCTCTGTTTTAAGCCAGCTGCTGGAGATCTATGAAAGTATGATTATACATTATCTATTAGTATCAAACAATCTCCTGTCAAAATATAATTTCTTAATACATCACACTCACATTTATTTGTATTTAAAATTTTAAGCAAAAACTTTTATCTCAGTTTTAAGGTTACAAACATAATATGTATTCAACAATTAATTTTAGTGTAACTAACAAGCCAAAAACTTGCAGGCATCTTTTCTAGCAAATGTGGCCAATAATTAATATTGCTTTTTGAATATTACATTGTGCCTATAATTTAATAGCTTGAGAAGTTCAATTACATTAAATTTACAAGCTAGAAATGAATTCTATGCTAGTATTAACCTTATATATGATATGGTTTCCTCAATCGCTGTCATAACTCAAAAGATATTCTTACCGTATTAATGAAATATCTCTTTGGACTTCCCGAACATCTCTCTGCCATTCCACTTCCCTGCCCTTCCTCAATCTCTGCATTATGTAATTATTAGAGCGTCTCTGACGAATTTCTTCCACTTTCTTCATTGCCTCGATGGTTTTGGTCCATAATTCTCTGTTGTATTTGACTGGAGCGTGTCGACGCTTTTCAAACTCAAATGATGGATCAATTGCTAATTCCTTGCCTGCCGTTTTACGGAAAGCTTTAGTCCATTTAGTTTTACGTGGGTTCTTCTTCTTTTTGAATGCTGCGTGACATTTTGAACGGCAAAATCTGAAAATCTACGCAACAAAGTTAACCCCAAACGTTCAAGGTAATTTTGTGTATGCAATTTGCTAATAGATATATTTCGTTTTATTTACCTTGCAATCATTTCTCACAAATTGAATCCCATGGCCAGGATAAATCCTGGAAGAGCAAAAATAACAAGTTTCTATACGCATTTTCACACGTGCAGTTTAGATGTTTTGACAGCACGTCAACAAAAGAAAGGTTTTCTTGTCCAACGAAAATTACAAACCATGACAGATTACAAATGTTAAAAAACTAAAATCGCATGAGAGATAAAGTTAAATTTTATTTATTAGTCACGAATATAAATGTAACTACTTTCACTTATAAATTATCTAATAAATAAATAAAATCATATTTTTTATATCAAGTTTTGCTTTAATTTGCTACACCTAACCTTGGTTATATAACGCCACCTAGGGACAGAAAATAGCAACGCAAAAAATTTGATGTCTATCGTGCAACGAGATGTCAGCATATGTACTAAAAATATTATAATAATTTGTTTAAAATCGTGTGTTGACTTATAATAATAAATTAATCAATGTTGGTAGCTGATAAATGCTGGTACGATGCTTTCCACCTTTTTAGCCTTGGTTCTATATTGTTCTTGTTCTTCTATATTCTTCTATATAAACCGTAAAATCTTCTTGACATTGTCTCAATCGAAATGAAAAGTTTCACTTTTCGAGTCAATTAATTTTTTTTAATAAATTCTAACAATCAATTTTTATACATAAAACTCTTATAAAAAACATATAACAATTAGTCATTTATATATTAATGTTCAGTAATCGATGCTATTAGAGGAATGTTTAGCTACTCAACACAAGATGTATGAAAACGATAAAGTCATATTTATGAGAGGCAACTTAGCGACTTAATGAGAAACCAAGTTAGTTACCGGTACATCACATAGTGAATAGGCAATACTTTTCAGTTGACTGCCCGATTTATGGCTTTCCTAAAATACCGGTGTTTACATCGTCGGTTGTACGTTATGCGCCTAATTACTTCTACGTACGTATTCATCGATATTTTGAATACATGTAGGCAAGGTTGGTGATGGTTTATGCTTCATATTATTACTCAATTAAGTGAAGAATATTTAGTCGTTTATTATAGCTCCTTAACCCGAACACATTGTATTTTACATGAAAATTTACTTTAGGTAATCACAGATTCATTCAGTGCCTTTTAACCGAAAAAAATATTGTTTTGTTTAGGTATCAGACAGGAATAATATTGGATTTCATTAAATTTCCTTATTAATACATGATACCCAGACTTAATACCAAAGATTTATTTAGTTTGATTGTCTTTGAAGAACGAATGTTATCATCGTGAAACTGGCATGGCACAAAAAGGTAACCAACTGGGATGCAACGCCACGTGTTATAGAAAGGTGACTTGTACGTAATCATTTTACATATTACAGTATTATACATTACTAGCACATTTATATAACAAGCTCAAAATTATTAATCTAATCGCCTTTAAGATTGAACTGCTAAAGGCAAAAAGATAGAGCAACATTTAGAAGTATCAAACCAATCTAGACTCTAAGTCACATAACAATAAAACGAAATGTACCTGTGTTCAGGTCATCTTGGGTGGTAATGAGCTAATGTGATACGAATCGCAATGGCTTAATTATACCGTCCTCGGCTTTGCTTAATAGATAATTATACGTTAAGGTACACCGCCAGAATGTTTATGTTACATCAGTTAAATATAACATCGTTATGTGGACGAAATGTGACCTAATTCAATAATAGGAATTCCTTTACCTTGTTTAACATACACAAGCCTAACTGGTAAATCGTTTACATAAAATAATATTAAACTATCTATTTTAAAATATATTTTCATTGAAAAAATGTCAGCGATTTCGGTGACGTGTCCGACTACATCACTACAGATTTCGCTTTGTATCTAAATGGTTAGATATCTACTATTGACTGTATACTCTTGATTTTAACTTTTAATGGTGTAAGTCGGTAAATGAAAAAGCCAAACATAGCCGCGTATATTGTGTAGAATGAATTCATTTATAGCAAAAAAAACGTTAAAAGAAACACAAATATTTGCATTTTATTATTAACGGTATGACAGTATTATGAATGGAATTCAACTGTTAATAATACATGTATGAAGTGTTAAGCGTAAAACATACCTACATGAAGAAGATAAACTACAAAGTATTTGGCCATTACGATCTGAATTAGCCGTGGACGGAAAGCCTAACTTTTAAATTGATTTTCAAAACAGGTATTTCCAGTAAATTCTTTCGTGAATTTGTGTGAAATTACCTGTGGACCTTGGCGCCACCGATGAAAAGTGCCGAATTCCAAAATCGAACTGTATTAGAATCGCAGTTTGCTTGTTTTTATTTACGTAAATATATACTTTAATATCTGCAGCATTGAGTTCAAATTTTTTTAATTTTAATGTGACTTTCCCGTTTGTTTAATAAAGCGATGTGCACTTTTTGATATTCAAGTGGCGTACACGATGTCACCTCGTTTATCACCATCGAGATGCTTATGTGTTTTTTTCAATGCACAATGACATGACTTTTGAGAATCCCGCATCGTTCCATTTTGCATATTCGCTTTGTGAATTGTAAATTAAAAAGTGCACTTTGGAATTCAAATGCAATCTTTATGTACATTCATCAAGCGCGTTGGCAATGGGGTGCAGGGTTTAATATACAATACCCTCAAAACATATTCTATTTATTGTTGTGGTCTACGGTAATTGAATTATACTTAGACTTCTATGCCGTTTATAGCTTGTTTAAAATATTTAATCGGATTAAAAGGCGTTGTTAGTTGTAAAAATTATTTTCAATTACGTCGGGAGAGTTCTGTTATTTTTAAGAATTTTAATTAAACTTTTTGTTGTATTTTATCCATCGTTGATGTGTGATGATAAAATCAGATAAATTCATTTTCAATTGTTTTTAAGAAAGTCCCGAAACAAGACCGCATTTTACGCATCTAAGCTTTTGCATTAATGAAATATATTTTATAGTCGACATTAAGTTTATCTTAAAAGTACTTAATTCATCGATTTACAAAATCTAGTTAGGCTCTTTTGAACAGTGTTTGTTCCCTGGGAGTAGTAGTCAAGTCTTCTGAGATAAGCGCATCTAACAAAGTTGGATATGTACCTATGGATTTAAAAACAAGAATTCAGTAAGTACTATCTAACTTTGATCAAGTAGTCGTTAAACTGATTTGGATCGTATGAAAATTTTTACTATTGACCGGTATTTTCGTATGAATCGGAAGAAATACATGTTTTAATGCCTTATCCCAGTACGAATTGCTGTGTCAGTGTCTCGGGGTGGACTGCGGTGCGCAGTGGAGAGCACTGAGGCGCACTGGCCCGTAATAACAATTAGTAATGTAAAATGTAGTTTTTTACTGAAATGGATTACTTGGCTTGCAAAGGCTTTACAATAAAATATATAGTGTAAATTTCAAAATAATATTCTATATACATTTTCGTCATAAAATGAATTCAAAGTGTCAAAATTTGGCTATTTTTGTATTTTTTTCAATCGTGTATTGATCTTTCAAAATGGATACATAGCCTACTCAACTCCACCTTATATTTTTTCCATTCACCCTACTTCAAGAAACGATGACGAAAAATGGAAAGAAACAATGTACTTTTTTGGAGTTTGGCGACCAGATAGGTCCTTAAATGGAAGCGGAAGTTTCGTTAGGTTTTATTTCTATTTTTAAGGCTGGAAGATGTTTCGTCTAGGTTTAGGTTTAAAGACTTTATTTCTCAAAAAAGACAAAAAATGTCACTTACATGAAATAATATTGATAACATAACATTGTAGTCGTTCTTAAAATAATCACAATAAAATATAGCTTACATGCAAAAAATTTAAAAATAAAAGTGAACAAAGAAATATGAATTAAAAGTAATTATAAGAAATGAATTTAAAAGTAATTTTGTTTAACATATTCACTTAGCTTCGATTTGAATGAATTGATAGAAGTAATGTTTTTTATATCTGTGGGTAGTTTATTATACAGCTGTGCGCCTTCGTAGGTAAACATTTTTTTAGCCGTCTAATATCCCATTAATCCGAAATTTGCTATTACTCAAATCCAGGAGCTCTAGTTTATTCGCAAATCTCTAAAGAAGACTGTGTTTCAGTGATAAATTAAGTTAGCAACAACAAGAATAAGAAAAATCAATCGATGTAGCGAACTTGATTCGAACGTCATGTTGGTGCACAATAGCCATTTGTTCTTTCGTAAAATATTATTGCAATCATATCCATTGTGTGAATTGTTTAAAAACTGTCCGATGGTACTGCAGCTTAATCAAACAATGTCGGATGTTTGTTTCTCTTTTTTAGGTACCCATAACCCAGGTCTCCTCTTAATCCAAAATATTTTTTTTCACTGGGAATCAAATGCTAAAAGTAAAAAAAAAACAGTGGGTTTACAACCCTTTAAATCTGTTTCGTAAATTGTTTATTATTAATGATATAAAAACACATACATAACATTACAATTGTTTATGATATAAAAAAAGGCTATTGGTACACAGCCGGGTCGCACTCTGAAGCTAGTAGGCCATCACTGCACTGGTAATATATATTTATGATATTATGTAAACTTGTAAGATTATTCCCACAGTTATTTTGACCGTGTGTAGGTTCCCTACAAACGGGTGCGCGCTCTATGGAGATGTAATTTCTGATTGTTTACGCCTCATTAATGTACCACTTAGGCCTACTTTGCTATCACGGAAGAACGGATTCCAGGCATTTATCCTTAACCTAGAAATATGGTTCTGATTCTAGGAATTAGGTATTACGAGGCTTTGGAGGTAATCTATAATATTGTAGAACTGCCTCCATGACTTCGGTAACGTCGGAATTCCCGGCTCGTGGTAAGCACAAAAGAAAGAAGAAAAAAAATACATATGTTTTGTTTGATAGTTAACAGTCTATGATCGTATTATCTTAATTTACAACTTAAACGTTTATAACATTAAATCGTTTCTTGTGACAACAAGAGTTGAAGCAGTGGAACTCCTTGCGCCTTTCAGTCTTTCCTAAAGAGTTTAACATAGGTTAATTCATGCAGCGACTAATTATGCCTCTCCTGTATAGGCG